TTGGTAAAACACGGTCTCCCGTGTTTGATATAGTTCGTAGGGATCAATGATGATGCATTAGGCTCTTCCGGACAAAATACCGCGGATCAATCACAAGTTCCCTCACTTAGAAGTTCTCTCGACAGGATGCACACTAATCAGGCTGGTTATGGAAAATAAATATTCTACATGTAACTGCGGCGTAATAATAATATCTTTTAAAAAGTATGTCCTGGACAGCTTTCACTTTCTTTGGCATCGTCGCCACAGAGTTCGTGCGTTCAAACCCGTTGAAACCTGAAACAGTTTTTGAAATAGTATTTAAAGTTAGCTTTGTTAATCATACTTTGATAATTGCTAAACAGTATTTATATTCTTGCAGACGGAACAAATCTCTCCCTTCAATTAAAATATTATTAAAATTCCAAAATTAAAATGATTCCCCAGCTTGAGACAATTATCGCAAAATCAAATAATAAATTAAAAGCTCACAATATGAAATAGGGCGAGTAAAAAACAATTAGATTGATATAGAATCTTGTGTTGTTGCTGCGCTGTACTAGTAGTATATCTAAAAGTAGAAGAGAGTTAACTGAGGTGTGTGTGCGTGTGTAAATGTATGATGTACCGTGTCTGTTTGTTTATGAATTATGTGTGTTTATAAAAAATTGTAAGTAACCTCAAATCAATAAAAATTAATAAATACAAAAAAAAAACGTAAAAAGAATTAAAAGTTAGCTCTTGATACAAAACTGACTTGAGTCTTGTATTTTGCTTTCATCAGAACGCGTGCTCTAGCAATCCTTGTGTTAATGAAAGGACCTGTCTGAATGGATTTACTGACAAGAAATACCATTGCGTGTGTCCAGCTTACCTTACTGGAGAAAACTGCGAAATAGGTAAAAAGAGGGAGTACTTTACTGCCTTCATAAACTACTTTTGCACCGTTTCTTAATAGCACTAGAATCTTAGATCTTAAAGGGAAAAATGCACTCTAAACACCAGTAAAATCAGTTTAAACTAAATTTCTTCGGACAAGACCAAAACGCATCGTTTTGTTAACATTAGTTCTTTAGGTCAGCACTGTTACAACAACATTCTTCTAAAGACAATAAACTGAGGAAAATGTGGCTATTAATGCATTGTTATTTTCTTTCGTCAGCGTTATTTCAGACCTGCAGGGAGCTGTATGGCAACTGTAAATGGTAAGTAGTAGATTGAACAGAATATCAGTCAAACGCACAGAAGCTGTATGCGTTTGGCAAATTTAGTGATGGAGATACAAGAGTGGACACAAATTTGCTAAACACGAAACTCGCTGAAATCGTCGATGAAAAATAATGTTAAAACACAGTCTCTGTTTTTATTGCGAAGGAGTTCGAAGATACAGTTTAAGTAAAATAGATCGCAGGGAACTCGAGGGTGGATAAGTGGATAAGTTGGCATACAGCTGATGAACAAACTCAGAAATATTCTTTGTGTCATTTACCCATTTTCCCAGGAGAAATCGCCACGTCCTCGTATTTATTAGAAGTGGCAATTACACGCGATAAAAAAATCTTATAAATGAAATGATATGTCTTTTCGATATTTTAGGAGGAGGCGATTCGCGTTTTCATAAATATTTTAATGTTCATCAGGTGTAAAAGGAACAAAGCTTATTCCCTGAAGCTGGGATCTGCAACAGTTCCTGTCTATTGTCACATGACTGATGATGACCTTGGCTCATGCGGAGGTGGTGGATGGACGCTGGTCATGAAGATCGATGGTAACAAGGTAGTAAACAGCATTCCACAGTTGAATAAGCATTACATGTTGTTATTTTGATGTATTGCTTTCCGCGCGATTTCCAACAAAGTAAATAATTAGTTTGGATTTAGCGTCACCCCGAGTAATAATAAATCATTTCCCCAGATCAAACCAAGATCGTTTGTTCAAGTATCAACTGTCCTCACGGAAAAGTACTTTTCCATTTAGAACACTGGTCACGACACAAAGTAAATTAATCAATCTAATGAGATACTGTCCCTTATTCCTGTGAGTAGATAAAATCGTCAGGTTCCTTGAAGGAAAGCTTAAACAAGAAGACTTTTCTCTCTGCACATTTTCTGCAGTCCTTATTGAGTGGGACTGCTTATTTTTAGGGGTCATTCCTTTATTTCTAGTTTTTCTGTTTTTTTGTTTTTTTTGTTGTTTTTTTTTTGTTTTTCTTTTTTTGCTACACTTTATTGCACTTAACCAGTAATTCTTCCAGAGAACTGAGTGAATTTTGACTTAGATCGTCTTAGCACAGGCTTAGTTTCAGTCCTGGTGCTGGATTATAGAGAAAATTCATTAACACTATTTTTCTGCTGGCACGAATCGAATGGAGTACAGTCATTTCGCAGCAGCATTGGCTAATTTCAAAACTGTTTAATTTTTTTTTTCCACAAAGAGAACTTTCCATTACAGTTCCAGTCTTTGGGTGAACCAAGAATCATTCAACGTTTCTGAGGGAGAGACTGGGCTTGACTTACAAGAGACTAAGCTGCCGACCTACTGGAACACACCCTTCTCCAAGATCTGCCTTGGTATGAAGATCGGCCGTCAGATCAACCTCATTGTCATCAACAAGCAGGCCAACTCTCTGTACTCACTGATCGCTGACGGCCAATACCGCAACACCCCACTAGGCCGTAATACGTGGAAGAAGCTGATTGGTTCACAGGCCTCCTTACATTTGAACTGTAACAGGGAAGGGTTCAATGTTGTTTCTGACACTGATTGGATGTCAAAAGCAAGAATCGGTTTGCTTGGTGACGATAATCCCAACTGCTACAAAAGTAAATCTAGAATCGGGTTCGGTACAAGAGGATATCCACATGACGATGTTACCTGTGGAAACACAGCTATCAACGGACCAGATAATGGAGACAAACGCATCGAAGCAATGGGATACATTTTGGTGCAGTGATAAGGAACTGATAAATTGAACTTGATTTTTTGTCTTTGTTGCTGTAGTCGATTAGAGTCGACGTTGAAAGGTAATACCTTAGTTATACGTGACGAAAAAAATAGGTATTTAACACAAGCAGAAATTTTTTAGCTTAAGAGGATCTTGTTACCGGCCTGAGAAGCAAGTATTCCTATAGCTCAGGATGACATAATAAGCAATTAATTAATCAATACTGAAGGAAATTAAACTTGTTACAAAAGAAGTAAGAAATGTTTTACCGTTAGTGTTACTTACATGTAGTAACAGCTTAACTTAAAGAACCGCTTTGCTTAATTTTATTTATCTATTTTATTGTTTATTTTGGACTGCTGTATATAATCATACAACTGCGGTGGTATTGAAGTGGTAATTTAATTAACGTGTATAGAAGGGAGTAAAGTTTGTGATATCAATAAAGGGTTGTCATCTCACGTTTTGACTCATTGTAATACGTTGAAGACAGCTGCCGAGAGCTCATAGTTTTTAATTTAGATTTTTTAAGCGAACGCTTTTTATAGTTTTGTTATGAATACTGGTTACGGATCTTTAATATTCTTAAGTTCTTAGTTTACCAGGAGTCCAGTCCAGTTGCCTCAGATTCCTGTTATTCACAAATGAAGACCAATATCCAGTCATGACGTGTTTTTTGCACGCAGCCGAGTTCCAATACCCCTTGACAGTGTCTCATAGGCGCGAGGACTAGGTACGAGAACTTTAGTTTTCGTGTCTAGGCTTTCCCCTTTTAAGGTGGCTCAAAACAGTAACATTTCCGTGAGACGCCTGGGCTCTAGCGTGCACTTCAGCACGAGGCATCACGTGATTAGACCTTCTAAAAGTCTTTTCCAATAATTCTTCCCTGGCCTGTCGCTCGCGCTCGCCCTCGCGACTTCGTCGCTAGAAGATTACCCTCTCGCTTCGCTCGCGGGAGGTAAAGAAGTCAAGGATTAAGAAAAGGTCGACTTGTGGCAAATCTACACGCGATTAGCCGAGGGGTCGCGAGATTTTAAGGACGTTCGCGCTAATTGTTTCTGCGCATCCTTACTGCGCACGCAAATTCACACGCCACTTCATGCATGAGAGCGCGCGCTAAGTAATTAAGTGAACAATGAGAGGGCAGATGGCCACTGCTATAGCTTTGCCTGGATGTAACGATCTTGGACGTTGACCCCTATTTTTCTTTTGATGGATCATTTTCTCTACCGTTTTCTACGTTTAGCGAAACAATGAAGAAACTCTATTGACTAGAAGTTTGAGTTTTTTGCAAAATGCACCATCGAATTCAGTTCTTTTTAGCTCATCGTTTATCTGTGCGACGGTTTCAAATGCCTCTTGAAGGGTTAAGTTTTGTGAAAACGATGGTAACATTTGGAATTATTTACGCAACAGATCCATTTCTACAAAATATGACTAAGATCGTTTGGCTCCGTTGACTCGCCTTCGATATTTTTAACTATAAACCCCTGTAGACCATGCTGAATTAAGTGCACCAACTTTTTCAAATCAGGGTAGTTTTCCACACGCTTTATCTTTGAAACGAAGTCGGTGACCTCCAATTCTTTTTTCTGCATTTCTGATACAAGTAACTCATTATCTGACTGCAGTAGAAAATTTTAAAAAAATCTATCGACTGGAAAATTCTTAAGTTTGCAAAAATCAAAACAAAAATGGCAGCGCGAAGCGTACTTTCCGCCAAGTTTAGTAAGCTGTTCGCGTGATCGGTTATTTTTACCCTGGAAAACATCCACCCTTCGGGCAATTTTAAAGGAAAATATCCTTTTAAACTGCTGTGCTGGAACGTAAACGAAAATTGTGATGTTGATGTTGCGATCGATCGCGGCGGCTATCAATCAAAAAGACAGCGTTCTTTCCTACTTGGCTAGTCTAACCTTCGGGAATTTATGGTACTCTTCTTTCACCGCTTATGCTGCTAACGACAACAGCCAAAAATAAAACACTGTTCGCGTTTATTCGCGTGGAATTGCGGGCCTTGCCGATCAGCGGACCGCCTTCACGTGTGTGCAAGGGGCGAGCTTGCAAAGTCGAGATTTTAATTTGCGTGTAGAACGTGGGCGAAAAATACCTTATCCATCAAGCTAATATCTCAAAAACTGATGCGGTGACCCTACTTTTTAATGCAAAAAAAAATATTCAACAGCAAAAGCGAAATGCATATGCGAAATTGTAAAAAAAAATGTGGAGTGGAATTTCTCCAACTTGGAAATTTTTCATATTTCTTTTTTTAACAAAAACCAACTCAATAGAATTTTTATAATTTTGCCTGTTTCTTCTTCTGTGTGTAATAAAAAGATTTTTATGGAAAAATATGGGGTCACCGGCTTAGTTTTTAAAAAAGATGCAATTGATAGTAAAAAGTGGGTCAAGTTTGTTGCTGTGCAACAGGACAGTGCAACCTTGATTTATGACTTAAACACAATGAAAAGTACAGTGGAGAGTGACGTTAAAAATAGCACAGCCATTCAAAACAGTACAGTTCCAAGCCTGAAAAATCGCACCTAGTTTAATAAGTCTCAAAAAAGCTGAAAACTGTTTTGAGCCACCCTAAAAGACACAATTCTCCTCTATTTCAGTGCTTTGACATAAGATGAAAATTATCGACGGAGTGCAAGACAGTATACACTGTATTAACTCGTAGGTCGACTTCGAATAGCTAAGTACTACTACGGAAAAAGTGATTCTTCTTTGCAAAATAACTGTCCCTATTGTTATCACAGAACAATCAGTAGCTGCTTACTTTAACACATAAAACCTCGAAAACAAAAAACATATCCGGTGAAATAGAGCACTGAAAAGTCAAGTTTTGTTCCCAAATTTTGATAGTAGTTTTCTTTTGCTGCCACCTTTTAAGCGATGTTTTTTTTTCGGCAATTAAAAATCGCTTTAATAGTTCTGGAGAATCGCACTTCCGTATTCAAAACGAAACGCTTTGAAAAGTTTTGTTCCCACATTTTGAAAGTAGTTTTCTCTTGCTGCCACCTTTTAAGCGATGTTTTTTTCGGCAATTAAAAATCGCTTTAATAGTTCTAGAGAATCACGCTTCCGTATTCAATAAGAAACGCTTTGATTCCAAACGGCAAAGAACTCGTTAAGAATCGGTATATTAAAGCAAGAGATAGTCTTATATTATGAAAGTTTCTCATTCACTTGTCAAGGGTGTATTCGTTGCAAAATCAATATTATTATAACTTTACTTAAATTCGTGGCTGAAAGGAAATCATTAAAAATCATTTACATTATAGTAGGTTGTCAAAAGAGACGATTTTGTTTGAAATCTCGTTAATTGACTTCCTGCTCATTTGCTTCGAAGAGTTGATTCATTAGGCCATATATGGTGCCGTTTTATCTGTAGCTGTTGTGTAAGCTTTTCACCCGAATTAATGTTTCTGCGGAAGACAAGGAAATGAGTGAAAAACACTTCACACGCAGTAACTGGGGCTATCTCTCTTTCAAGCTGGCTTTTTGCGCACGTAGTTTGACCGCGATCAAACAAGTTGAACAAAAACTCATTCGTTGGATCATTTCATTAGAGTTACATTTCCTGCGGTTGAAGAGACTGTGTACATGTGAAAAGAAAAGAGCTTCAAAACGCATGCGATTCACGGTCCTCAAACCTTTAAGGAACCTTATAGAACCCTAAGATCTCTTCAACGTAGGTGTTTTTTATAGTAAGGCTGGGGAAAAGGGATTTGTGAGCGACGGGGAAACACTTAATTTCCATGAGTATTCACGCTGAGAACAAACGCTCAACCCTACCATTCCTCATCGCATGCATACAATGTACTATCCATCTCTCTGTCTTCACAAAGTGCTCAAAAACTTGAGTAAACAATACACAGATATAAGCGACAACTGCTTATTATGACTGCTTTGAAATTTTCTTTTCTTTTAATACAATCAAAATAAATTTAACGACACTCCTCTGGTGCTGGCGTGACTTTTCGGTGACAATACAACTAACATTACATACATATAAATGTATGATAGATTCTTATGCAAATTAGGGGATCTAAATGGGGAGCGTAATGTCTGGAGTATTGAAAAGGGTGTTAAAGAAATTCCACCCTAGTGTAAGAGTTTTTTTCTCCGAAGTTTTCCTTCTCCCTCTGCCATCTTCTTTCTTGTCTTACTCTTCATACATTTTTTTCCTGATCGTTTGGAGTGATTTTTAAGCCTTAAGAAGTCGAGAAGTCCAAGTGTCTATAGCTCATTTGGTGTAAAAGATGGAACTTTTCTTTAACAACCTGCTCATAAATCTGCTCATATTATGTATATGTCTATAAAATAGGGAAAAAATATAATGAAAATTAAATTTCGTCATTACAGTAAATGTTTAATAATATGAGAATGATAAAGATGCTCATGGAGGTAAAATCTAAAAGAAGAGGAAGACTTTGTTGTCAAGATTGCTTCAGATATTTACTAAGGACTACCTCTAGTGTCATCAGAGTCCATAGTCACTTTCAAGGAACCCGGAAATTCTGTGTTGGTTAAAACAATTTTAAGTCGAGACATTGGTATTTGTAATATATTCCACCCGGAAAGTCTTAAACCGACTTTATTGCATTCAGTTGTTGGATTTTGCAAAACTGAAACGTTTTTTTATCATGGATAAGTCCAGAAAATCACCTGGCTTCTCCGTATTCAAGGTTTCGTTCGAGAAATCACATGGTGCGTATGACTAAATTTGGTTATTCCCCTGACTTTGAATGTTGTTTTGTTTTGTTCACGGCCCTCTAGGAAGGAATGGCGAAGTTTGCCTTAACCTTAAATATTCGACAAAACAACTTGTCAAGGAGACTTCTAAGACCTTGGCGATAGTTTCCACTGAAGATAAAACAGATACAAGGGTTCATGGCACAACTTGCGCTGGCAATAATCTGGACAACAAACCAATAGCGCACGGTGCCACATGAAGGCGAACTAGTGTGGTCCCACCCGAAGGTCGAAAGAAAAGTTAAAACACTGACAGGCAACCAGCATATTACAAACACTGAAACAATGGTAATGGCCATCTTTAACACGTTTCTTTGCTTTTTTGCCCGTAGGTTTTCAGTGTTGATCGATTGCTCGCCTGGGAACTTCTGTGTCTTGAGCTTAAAAAGAATGATTGAGTAAAGAATGGTCATCAATGCAAAAGGGATAAATACTTCTATTATAGACAGCACTATAATGTAATTTTGAAAAAAATGATATGAAGAATCATCAAAAACTTCATTCCAACGGACCTCACAAGCCAGCTTTTCTGGATACTCAACAAATTTATAGACCAACTGGAAACTGGGTAGTTATCGCGAAGATCCATGTGACAAGAATCAAGAAAGGACATAACTTTGGACCGATTAGTGCTGAACGGAGGGGAAATACCACAGCTCCAAATCGATCCACTGCTATCAGAACCAGGTTCTGGATAGAC